GTCCAACAGTGGATTTCAGTCAGAGGAGGAACATCAGTACTCATCTCTTCATCACATTCGACCCTCCAGAGTTTCAATAACGACAAAAAAAAAAAAAGATCAATCTCAGGGTGTAAGAAAAGCTCGAGTCGACTCTTACAGGGTTGATTTGGCTGAAAATGACCCATGGGAGGCTGAGAGAAGTGAGGAAGAAAGAGAAGAAAAAAAAAAAGGAGATGCGGACCAATCGTAGGCTCCAGGTGGTTCGAAAAAACTGCACCAAAGCGAAGCTGAAAAAGTCGAAATCAACGAAGGAGCAGAAAGCAAGAAGAAAATGTAACGTCTGCTCAATATTCCAAAAATTCAAAACAGATTCATTCAGAGTTTCTGTGTCGTCACAAAGTCAAGAATAATCCAGAGTGGAGCGAGCGGAGGGAAGGCATGTCCCGAGCGAAGCCCTCTTCACTTTGTAAACGATGCGGACGTTGCAAAATGTGTGTACCGTTAATGCATAAAGTGTGTAAACATACTCTTACACGTATCGTATACATGTGGAAATAAAAGAGAAGAGAATTCAAGTTGTTTTACATGTCTGTGATAATGTGAGTGCCAACATGCAGGTGAATTCTTTTATTAGAGTGACTCTCTGGGCCACGCTGGCTGCTGTGTTGACGTTGGTGGAAGTGGAGGCGTGCGTGCATGTGTGTGTGTCTAGCTCCCCTCGATGAGCTTGGCCAGTGTGTCCCGCAGCTCGGTCAGCTCGAAGATCTTGGTGTCCAGCAGCTCCAGCAGGGAGCGCAGGCTCTTGCGAAAGGCTTCTCTCTCCAGCTGGCTGCTCTCCAGACGCTGCTCCAGGTCGCTCAGCTGGGCCTCCAGCGTCTGGTTCCTCGTCTCTGTGTCCTGTAACAAACGATAAAACGTTTATTTCATTCATTCCTTTTCAGAAAAGAAAAATGAAAACCACACAATGAAATGAAAAGAAGAACCTTGCTGCTTTTCCACATGGTTCTCAGTGTTTTTCACACATTTTACTAAGTTGTAGATTTAATTTAATATTAGAAAAATTGACATTGACATTAAATTAATCGACCCTGAATTACCTGGATTGACAAAGTGAAGACATGATGTTAGAAGAAGAAAGAAACAGATTTCAAATAACTTAAAATGTAAACATGTTGTGGGACACGTGTTCACAGTCAAATCCCTTTAACTTTTTAACTAGAAATACTGAATGTATAAATTAAGATGCATATTCACAGTAGTAATGTTACTACTTGATTTTATTTACTACTGGAAACAAAAGGTTTGCACAAGCGTTTCCTGTCCATACTAACATGCCTGAAAACCAGGGTCAGTAACTGATTGTCCATGTTGTGTTCAACGCCGGTAGCTGAGGCCGATGTCTGTTGTTTTCTATAAAAAGAGGATCGGGTGATAAGAGCCTAACGAATCAGCGAAGGCTACGTCGTCACCACTAAAGACCCAATCTGCAAGTGTTTGTGAGTGTCTACGTCATCGTTTCCAAACATCTCTGTTTTCATGGAGCAGTGTGGACGCCAGGCGTATTCGATGCATTTTCAAACGTAGTAGTGTGGCTGTAGTAGTTCTTTTCCTCTCTTCTGGTCATATTTATTATATATATTTACTGTTCATGTTGATGTAAGCACAGCGTTCACTCACCTGTAGTTTCTCTGTGAGAGAGTCTTTCTGAGACTGAAACTCGTGTGCACGCTGCACCTCTGCTTTAAGCTTCTCCAACTCCTGAATGTGTAGAAAAGAGCAAAAATATGAAGATCGCACACGTATGTTTAGGAGCCGACAGGACACTGACATGTCGACGTAACACAATGCTCACACCTCCTCCTTGTCCTTTAAAGCCAACTCCAGCTCCTCTATAGTTTGGTTAAGCTCTGTCTTCTGAGATTTGATGACCGTTGCTTGGCCGCTCACACATTCGAGCTCCGTCACCTGGAAAACAAAAATAAAACCTTTGTCACGGCGTGAAAACAACATGACATGTTGTTAGAAGTCGGACTGTTTTATATTTCTGTGTTTCTGTGTACGGTGATTACCCGTTTGTGTAGCCTCTCCGCCTCCTCCTGATAGGCTGCCAGCTGCTGCTTCCACTGTTTGACGTTGGCTGTGGACTCGAGCAGAGCTGCTGTCAGTTTGGCGTTGTTCCCCTTGAGTGCCGCAAGCTCCGCCTCCCAGTGCTTATTGATGTTGGATGAACTGGAACTATGGAGAAAAAAGAAAAAAAAAAGAATAATGTGAGCGGGACTGCAAACGTGATTTCATTAGTGATTAATCTGCCCATTCATTTAACTGATAATCTGAATTTAGTCTCAAAAAAAGGTCATGTAACATTTAACTTACTGAAACCTGAATACAACTGGATAAAAAAAACTGTATACTTTATGCATAATGATGAAGTCAGTTATTATAACTTTTTCACATGTAGGCCTAAAAATATTGATGTTAGAAAATAAATAAACTGTGCAGAATTTTATAACCAGAACAGTTAAGCTGATTCTGCACAGTTTTCCGTTAAAGCCTGATTTTAAAAATGAGGTGAACAGCATCATATATAAAAAGAGCTGTAACCGAATGATAACCATTCATTTTAGAAAGCACTCTGCTTCCATTTGTGACTTTAATCAGCCCATCGTTGCCTTGACCTCACGTTTACCTGTGAGAGAAGGGCAGTGCATTCTGGGACGGCTCTGCTCTGGCTTCAGCGGGTTGTGGTGGGTCTGGGATGACTCTCTCTTCGTCCGTACCGTTGATGCTCTCAGGGGTCAAAGGTGACAGCAGGTCACCCGGGGCCGACTCCTGATTTGACAGATTGACGAGACAAAAACATTATTTTTTTTAATCAACATTTGGTTAATGTGCACCACTCTCCTGTCTGTCTGTTATATATGGAGCCAGGAGAGTTAGCTTAGCACAAAGACTGTAAAAAGAGGGATACAGCTAGCCTGGCTCTGACCTTGAACACTGACATATTCTGTCAGACGTGAAATACTTCACACTGCTCTGTTCATCTGATAACATCTCTGTGTCTTTTACATGTGGGCTTTTAATGTAAATGATCGTTCATAAAGAGCCACAGTATTTGGCACCTGGTGCAGGAGATGACAATGTAGCATTGTTACTACAGGGAAACAGATTAACAAGATATGAAGGCAGAGGAGTGTTCCTCTCTCTCTCCGAGGATGCAGCAGCAGCAGTGGACAGTACAATGTATTTCTCACTGAATTCATTAATGACCACCGCTGCTGTAAATTCTCTCATTGGTTTCATCATTTAACCCCAAGAGCAGAGACTGCTGTATGTGTTATATTATCAGACTGTGCAGAAGGACTTGATGAAAGCTTGTTCACTTGGGACGAGCTTTCGACGTTGGTACTTTAATGTGCAAGTGATTTAGCGGATTATGCAGATGTTTGCATGCATTTTTTAATGAATTAAACAAATGACATGTTGATGACTGAGCATAAGAGGGGCTGGTGGGTGGATTTCGCTGTTTCCCACTCTTTCCAGACTTTATGCTAAGCTTAACAGTCGCTAACTGCAGATATACTTAAATGTGTAGCCATGAGAGTGGTGATGATCTTCTCATTATAGAAACGTATTTCCAGAAAATGGAAAATTATTCCTTCAAGCTGGGATTTTGAGACACAACAAGTTTTCAGTGATAAAGTGTTAACAGTTCCATGCTCTCAAAAATCAACCAGATTTTCAGCTGAAATGTCGAAAAGGAAGTTATGAGCGTTCTCGTCTCTGAACTGTTCAGACTCCTCATGACTACTGGACACAAGATTCACTTCAGATCACAGGATATTTCCACCCTGTTTCAATTTGCTGATTCAATTTGCTTCTTTTGTTCATTGTGTCTCTTTACTGTCTTTGTTCGGTTAATTTAGTCCTTCCTGATTGGCATCTGCTCAAACATCCTTCACTTTATTCGACTTTGGCTTTTTGAGAGCATGAAAGGAGAAGCGGAGGGTCGTCAGCGGAAGGTTCTGGGAGAAGGGGCATCCTCTGGTTGTTTCTCTAACATCAAGACGATGGATGAGGTTGTTAGAGACCGATGACAGGGTGGTCCCCAGAAAAACAAAGATTATTACACCAAAACAACATAGCAATAAGTGATAAGCCTGGGTTTTATTCATACGCAGAACCCCACAGATCCATCATCACAGTTTAGACAACGTTTGAATACTTTATGTTGTGCAGAGGAAAAATGCGGCAGGGGAGACACCAGAGGGAAGTGGAGTTTCTATCATTGACTGGGGTAAGACTGGGGAAAAGGGGCCATCGGAGCAGAGTCATGGGAATGATTCTTTCCGTTTTCTTTTTACCTTCTTTTTATCAGGTTTGCTGACTGACAACACGTTCCTTTTTGCAGCGCCGCTCTGAGGAGGAGTGGTTAGGGAGGTAAAACAAGCCACAAGGTGTTTGTTAAGTGGCTGGAAACAAGCTTGTGTCAGTGAAACATAAAACTTGTTATGACAAGACGGTTACGTTCATTTCTCATCTATTTGTAATGAGCAGTGATTCACGCAGGTTGGCAGTTCACTTTGTCATTATCAACAGGCTCCTTATCAACTTCATTAACATATAAACACTGAATTATGGATAGATCATAGATAATAAGTGGAGAAGTGAACACACACGTTAGTTGGATTAACATGAATTACATATTGGAATGACACTTGATCAGTAAAGGCTAAGGTAGTTTGGAAATAACAGCTTATGAGAAGAACAAGCTAAAGTTACGCTTGGAAAGTATTGATTATCTCAAGAGGGGAAACTTCTCTTCTCTCTGCTTCACTACACTGGCATCCCATCTCTTTAACCTGTATAACCTCCATCTTTGCTTTTTATCATTTCTTTTGGAGAAAGCTCTTTGCAAAAAAAAAATTTTTAAATCTATACTAATAACCTTTTTTTTTTAAACACAAGCATTGCTTGGTTGATGGGAGATGCTCTGAGGTTTTAACCCACACTGCCAGTGGATGGTTTAGGACACGGTTCATTTCTCTTGCTACCTGCAACAGCTAACGTTATGTTGTCTGTGGAAGTGACATCACTGCTACAAGCTACCGTTTCTCACTGGAATTACATCTGTCATGTTAAGCAGCCAGACCTGACAGATGTCAGTCAGCATGTGGAGGTAATTGTACTTGTTTCCAGCAAGTTGTATTAGTAAAAACAAGCTATCATGGCATTGTAGCGGCAACTTTTCTATCCATCTGTAACATGTTACAGACGTTCTCTTCTTTAAAGAGGCCTCCAAGTGTAAAAATGTGTGAGGACACAATAATGAAGATGGTGGTTTTTACCTGAGAGGGAGTGCTGGTGAGCTCCATCTTCTCCTGAGACTTCTCCTTCGCTAGTCGCGCTGCCTCCTTGAACTCAGCAAACTTATCTGCAAACTAAATGTAACAGGAGCAATTTAGTACTGCGACAACACAGCCCTGAATATAGGACAGCCCCCTCACCCCTACAGAACAGAACAGCTGGATTATTTCAGACACATCCTTATTAGAACGTTCCTTGGGTCTGTTTCCTGTGTCCTCACCTTGACCAGGTGACTCTCAGATGAGAAGCCGAGGCCGTAGACTGTGTTCGCCCGGCTGTCGGCCCACTGGCCAAACTTTTGCGACGTCTTTGTGAATGTCATGTTGGGGGTGATGGTGCTGTTGATGATGGCCTGTGGAGGACAAACACACATGACTGAGCCACACGAATGCTTTTCTAATTCAAAGGTAAAAATAAACGTGGGACGGCTGCCTTGGGCTGAAGCAGCTGGATATCTGATATTTGCTGGGACTGTGTATGTGCGTGTGTGTGTGTGTGTGTGTGTGTGAGGTATAGACGAGGGTTTGCGTTCCTACTGTTTGGTAAACAGGAAGCAGTCAATGAGGAGTCCTAAAGCGACTGTTCTGTTATTGATCCATGTGGGAGGGAGAGAGGCGGGCACAGATGGATTTATCATTTTAAAAAATTAACTGCTGCCTCTCAAAATTGTTATACAAGACGCCATAGATACAGCTGAGCTTGACCGTTCATTCTTGATGATGGAAACTCTCTTTCTTTACCGGAGCGTTCTATTGTATCACACAGTTCTCATCAGCAGACTGAGTTTGCCTTTTTGGCACAACGCTGTAGATGATCAAACTTCCCATGTTTCCAAAAACCTCTGACGCTGATTTAAACGGCTGAAAGCTCCAGCTCAAGTTTGTGTCAACTTGCAAATGCAAGTCCAACATTCAGTCTGTTTTGTTTCTGTAAAGACAAACTCAACACCCTATTGGAGGAGGCAAACTGTTTTAATCCTCAGCGGGACAGAAAAGTTCATGTTAGATGTAAGGTGACAGCAGCACAGAGAGAGATTTGCACATGTCAAATGGGGGAAATAGAGATATATAGGCTGAATCTTGTACATGTGCAGTGTATGAGGAAAATGACTTTTAAATGTTTTACTGTAGTACAGTAATAGTATAATATGTAACTATATATAACTCTGGGAAAAAAACCGTCAAAATACATTTGTAGTTTTCTGTAGATTTCTCAAGAAGTGAGAAAACTACATTCATCAAATTCAAATGTAACAACTTGGAGGGAAGAAAATGTTTTTTCTTCTTCGCATAGTAGTTTGGTCCAGTTCAGAAAAGTTATTTTTACACTTTACACGACACAAAAACCTTTGAGTTATGCAATTTTCTGAAAACCTCCACTTAGCTGAACCCTGCACATGCAGTGTTTTCATTTCCAATCTCATGTTTGCTCACTTCTGGAATCTGGGAAGCAACACATGTGGATTAGATCTCTATGTAGATTTGTTTCTGTGTGCCTGCTTTCTTTTTCCCTGCTGAGAAGACGTATTGTTGTCGGGATGATAATGTCCTCCAGCACCAACCCACCCAATCTCTGCTATTTCCAGCTGAACCCAGCGCAGCTAACTTGCTGGTTGCATAACCATGTTAACTCCACCCCTGCACCTCTCCCAAGACTAAAATAATCACTGCCACATAGATTCGACAGGCCTGGACGCCCCTTCACTGCGTCAGCACGGAGAGGCCAGGGCCGAGGAGATCGAGTCAGCATCACGAGCTGAGGGTAGAGGTGGGCTATTCTGATTGTTGTTGATTAGTTCAAACTTTATTGATTCTAATGTAAAATTAAAGGAGATTCTTTTTTTCAGTGGTTGGTACAATACGTAAAGCTACAGGTGGATATTAGCATCACCTTTAGCTATCTATGTTGTCTAGTTATGAGCAACAACTCAATTAGCAGCACACACAATTTAACGATAGAAATGTCATATTCGCCTCCGGAGTTTCCTGACACCCATGACCACAGTTGTCCCACACAGGCAGATGATTCAGCCAGCGATTCAAATGGTGTGTGTGTGTGAGTGTGTGTGAGTGAGAGAGACAGCCTAAGGGCCAAAGAGGATGAGGGACATGTCTAAATCGTAGACGATGTGCTGGTTTAGGGGGAGTATTTTCAGAAATTATTTGAAAATAAGCACAGCTTTCCAGGATCCCACTCACAAGCAGTTGAGTTTGAGTAACTAATATATATATATAAATGCCATGACATCCCAAATGGTTTAATCTACGTAAGCATAGGCCCTGCAAGGCACAAGATGGTCAAAACAGTAGATGGCCTTATGAGCCCTATTCAACCCATTTGATATTAAAACCAGCATTAATGTATTTCATCAAATAACAGTCATATAGTTTAGATTGTTGTGGTTGAACCAAACTGAGATGCTGTAATAAAAGAAACATCCCATTAAGGTAGGAAACGACACTCAAACACACCTTAGATCCATCCAGGCTGATGATTCGATATACATTCCTGGTACTGTCGAAGAAGTAGGAGACTGTGACAGCGTGTTTACTCGTGGGAACCCAATTCTTCTTGGTGTTTGGGTCAATCTGGAAGACGTGGGCCCGTGTGCTGAAGATGGGCTGCTCTCTGCACAGAAAGAGAGTGTATAATTTTAAGTCTGTGGTCAACCTGCCTGAAATATACAGCATGCAACAAAAACACTGGCCTGTAAGGAGAAAAAGACAATTTAATTACACAACAGACGAGTTGTGTGTGTGTGGGAGTTTTTGTCGTCGCTGGGGTCTCAGACATTCCAGCAAAAGTATGTTTGAAACATCCTGTTGTTTTAGTACGTTCCTGTGAGTTAAAGTAGAATAAGAATAATGAAAGACCACCTGCAGAGCTGGAATTATTATTGTTGTTATGATGATGGTGATCACATTCAGGTATGGACAACTTCAACTAATGGAACACCTAGCCAGTTTAAAACAACAGTATAGATAAAGTCAAAAGGTGTGCACACTAAGTTATCTGTGCCAGGTTTTTTTTTTTTTTTACTGAAGCAGATAATCGGCCGGATAATTGCACGGATGCTCTGTTAGCTCCTGTATCTGACACACTGATACAAAGCAGAATCTCCAAGCTGTCAAATCAGCTGCAGCAGTTTTCAAAACCTTGTTACCAAACAGAGCAGTTTGCGGAATCTCTTTTCAGATCATCTCACTCACAAGTTTCAAGTGTTATATTCACAACTCTGCACATCACAGTTGAACTAAATTTGAACTTTACTTTTAGTTTTTGAATGACTCTCACCTCTCTGTGTCAGATATCAAAATGTTGATTTTGACTGGTTCTAAAATGTAATGATTTAATTTGATTTAGTGACCAGTTGGTCAAGTAGACATAAAGTTTAATATAATTATATCAAATGACAAAAACATATGAACTAAGAGTCCACAGACATTCAGCAAAGTCTTTAGGGTTCATCGTCAGGAAACCATGAACGTCCGTACAAACTTATTGCACCAGCCTACGTAGTAGGGTTTACACAAATACAGGAAACTATGACCTGCTGCAGGCGCTAGACGAAAGTCAGATCACCACTGTTAGTCGGATTCATCCTCTGAGGAACACGAAACAATCCACATCCACATCAAATACAAGACACCAAGGAAAGGAAAGTGGAAGTACTGAGGAGTTAGATTATATAGGAGTGAGAGACAGCTCCCAGATCCCAAGACAGCCATAATTCACTTTCACAATCAGTGAATGGAAGAGGGGGAAAAAACACCCACCAGGAGTTGACGCTGCAGAACAAGTGTGCTTGTGTGCCAACGTACAAATGTAAAGGCACACATGTACACAACTTCCATCATTACCGGTCATGTTAAGTCGCAACACAAGACCAGATTTACAAGTTCAGATCTTTTAGCATCTGAAACATTTGTATGACAAATAAAACACGGAAAAAAACGTGCTGTGATTTTTCATAAAAACTAAAAACCACTGCAGAGTCATTATGTATTATGACTATATGTAATTGCTAAAATAAAACATCTATCATGCAAACAATCATAAAGCTAAGATTTATGCCACCTCAATGATATTTAGTGCATCTAAAAACAAGGAGTTACACTGAAGAAAGAAAAAAGTGCTTGTATAAGAAATGCAGCATGTAACCTGGAGGAAGAAAGACACAGTCAGAGGTTGGGGCGCCTTTCTTTAAACCTACTGCCTCGAGTTGGCGGATGAGATCAAAATCAGGGAGGACTCGTGCATTTTTAAAAGAAGCAAGCTGAAGGGCATTTATGCAAAACATTTTCTACTTTTAAAATAAGAGAGGCAGCGCCCACACGGACACGATCAACCATCATCTCCCTGTGAGCGCAGCGGCTGTGCTGTTTCAGAGGCAACGACCTCTGAGGTCGTCACAACTCACCGCAAAGACACTCAGTCACTCTTTTTAATGATGCCGTAGCTTTCCAGAGCAACTTGCGTGACAGAGTGAGGATTAGCCTGATCAACAAACAACAGGTCGATTGATTGGAGCTAATAAGACCATGTGGGTTCAGATCGATTATGTGCACAGAGTCGGTCCACCTCCGTGTTTCTTTTTCTCTCACTGCTAGTGTTTGGGCGTCAGTCATCTCATTCTGAACACTACTCCCATTCCTGACAGAGGCAGCTCCCAGTGATCGACTTGGATGATTTTACCTATAAAAGCGGCAGGCTGTTATATTCAGGTCTTGTATGTGTGGGCATGTGCAGCCCAGACTTAACCAGCAGAGTGTGTCCCTGACATAAAGCGGATGGAGCGATGCAACGATGCCAAAGGTGACCTGGAAGCACCTGTGCTGACATACAGGGGGATCAGCAGGCCCTGGACGCCCTCCAACCATTGCTATGGATCAAAAGCTCCCAGGGTCTTGGATTAACAGTAAAACAAGATATACGAGTCTGGTTGTGGTTTGAATGCTCAGTGAAATCCACAACAAACTCAGAGCAGATTTTTTTTGTCTGGAGATGAACAGACTCAGGAAATATTCCAAGTGTTTGTTTACCCTCAGAATTTCAAAGCCTAGAATTGACGCATGCACAAGTCATCTCCAGCTCAATATAAGGACAGATTTAAATAGACATTGTTAGACTAAAAGCTTTACAACATGAATGGACAGTTGCATTTGTACAACCTTCAATAGTGGAATACACACAGATTATTTTCATGTTAACATTCATAAAATATTTTTTTAGCTGTAAAAACATATCAATTTATCGATTAGTCAACTGACAGAAGATTAAATCTCTGTAGGCTCTGTGACGTTGAGAAAGAAATTTTTTGTTAGTTTCTCAAAAATTGTATAGATCAAAAATTGTATCCATTATCTTAAATAAATCAACAATGAAAATGATTTATCTCTAAGTATTCAGGAAAAATCTGTAACACATTAATATACACAAACTAAGTTAGCCTGCCACACACAAAGTATAGCTGATACTGAATAGAATATCATTAGTTTTGCAGGTTTGGGTTCATAAAACAAAGTAGGGCTGCCTGCAACTAACAATTATTGCTTATTAATTTCGGCTGTTGTTTGTTATTTACTTATTGGATTAGTTATTTGGTCTGTAAAGTGACAGAAGAGTAAAAAGTGCCCATTACAGCTTTTCCGAGACCAAGGTGACCTGTATTGATCTGTATTGGTCTGTCAATGGTGCAAAAGCCAAAAATATTGAGTTTACAATAATAAAAAAAAAAAACACCAGAATGACTCAAACAATCGATTGTTTCCTATTATCTAATCTGATACTCTCCTGATTATGGTATACATTTAAAAGTCACCAAGGATACTAAACTCCCTGCTGAGGGGAACATAATGTCTCATGGTGGCACTAAAAGAAAAGTCAGATGTTGACCTCAGTCAGTAGGAGTCATCCTTTGTGGACCATGAATCTCTCAACACACATATCTGATACAGATATCAAACTGCATAGCCATGTCCAGAGCTACATGGAGTAGATCCTACCATTGAGACCAAGATCCTTCAAGGCACAGCAGCTACAGTCACGCTACAATTCTCAATAAATAAGTAAATCCAAATGTATAATGTGTTATTTTGACATTTTATTTTGATCCTTCACATCCCTCATGAGACTTCCAGGGAAACTAAATTTGATTGCTTGGCTGAGTGTCCCAGGTCGTCTTCTCTGGCACACGTCGATTACTCCCCTCTCTGGGGAGCTCTCATCACGTCCCAGTCAGTGTGTTAATTAAATCAGCAGAGTTCAGACCCGGCAGATGTTATTTAAAGATAGACGGTTAATCAGAGAGATGGTGGCAATGTGCATCCGGGATTAACATTGGATCACACACACTAGCAGCTCAGCAGTGGAGATGGTAAGAATATACTGTATGTAAATATTAATATGCTTGTTAAATACAGCATGCAAGATATTTGTGTAGTACAGTTCATGGGTAGTGTACACTGATACCAAGAAAGGAGAGGAGATAAAGTTATCACTTCTGTGGAGGTTTAGAGGAAGTCAGTGATCACCATGAAAATATACTTTAGTTTTTTTGCTGACATAACGCTGTTGCTGCGTGTGATAAAAATGTACTAATGCTGTTTAACACAGTGGTCAAGTCTCAATTCTCAAAAGGTTGCCCTGACCAAACTGTAGCAGGTCATTTTATATGTTCAGGGTGTTGTTAGGCCAACAGCGTGGCCTAGATCAAAATCTGCCGCGGTGGTGTGTGTCTCCATGAGACTGTGTGGTGATTGTTAGCCCATAATCCCTTTTCACAATGAAGCGTACTGAGGCATTCAAGTCTCAATGACAAGTGCTTGGACAGAGGAATCTGACCGCAGATGTTATCAAATCAGCAGTTCTCCGCTTACAACTCGCACATCAACAGAGAAAACACACACGCACGCACACACACGGGTGTTTGAACGGTAACATGCTGAGATTAGCACACACGACTGCTGCAGATCTTTACAAGTAAGTTCATGATGAAGTTTGGCCTTCCCTTAGTCCTTAATATTTCATAGTGTCCTCATATATAGTTACTATTTTGAGTAAGGCTGCAAGTTTATTAACATCATAAAATAGTGAAAACCATCCAATGCACATCCATAAAATCTGCAAGTAGTAGCATTTTTCACTATTCTTGCTTGAAATGAATGATGGTGGACCTTGGATCATGATCTTGGTGGATCGTACAGATCCTGGATCGTGACCGTGATGGTGGATTGTGACCAAGTATCCTTCTGTCGATCAACTAATTCATCAATCTACCAATTGTCGGAGCTCTAGAGTGAATGAATCCTTTTTTAATTGGTGAATCCATCCCTTCATTTTCTGTTGCTCATCCAAGGCCAGGTCACATTAACTTAATTATATAATTAGGATTTAATGCTGAGTAGTTGTGAAGTAATGATAACTAATTTTAGGCCATATTGTCTCTGCTGGTTTTCCATCATGCTTTCTGGGTAAATCTCTATAACTGGTAGTTAAATTGCATTTAATGGAAGATTGAGAAAGTCTTTAAAAGTCTGTGACTGATCAATAAACCGATCATTTGTTTCAGTTCTACTTTACGTTCTTAGCCGTGATAATTCATGTTGCGGTTATAAAAGACTCAACACTCATCCGCTACATGAAAAATAAACAGCAAGAAAAATCTAAATAATCTGAGCACAACATGAGCAGACTCCCCGTCTATCACTGGAAAAATAACCCTGCATTATAGCTGCTGCCTGCGTTGTCATGGAAACGGCCCACGTGACTCAGGGCTGGTCATGAGCCGTGAACATCTTCCAACTCTGTCTCTCCCCTGTCCTTCCCACATGCTCTCTCGCCCAATCCAATCCCGGTGTCCCTGTCGGTTAACCCACTCGCAGAGGGAGGCAGCGGGGGCTTGGCAAAGCAAAAACCTCCAGCTGAAAACACCCATATGTCGTACGCAGCACCGAGAGCCTTCAGAGGCCACAGGAGAACGATTTTTCATATCATTATATGCAAACACCCTCTTGGCTGAAACTTTGCTTGTTTGTTTTTTTTACAATTTTTGTGCCGTGTCCATTCCACCACTGCTTCCTCTGTGTCTGGGTGTAAAAAGTAAAAAAGGACAGTGTTCAAGTTTGTCTTTTTCAGATCACTTCTCTTTGACCAATGAAATATCATAAAGCAATTAAACACGCTTTGAAAAAGAGTTGGCACAAGCCTTCATGATCATGCACCATTGAACCAACATGTGAACTGTATATAATATTGATGTGTAACCTTTCTCTTGTTAATGTTTTCTGTCATCAGACGTCTCTCACAGCTCCTGTATCCATCACTTCATCCCTAGCATCACATTTGAATGCAGCCGAGATCAAAATGCGTGTCCTATCTTTTATAGCTCAGTAAATACATTATGCTTAAGTTTTAGTTTGCAATGATATATGACAAAGTAAAGCAACAAAATGTTCCATTTGAGAGGCTGAAATCAGAATAATATTTAAAGTTCTGTTTTATTCGACCAAACGTCCATTAAACCCCACATATTGAATTTACAACCTTACACAGGAAACATTTGTGAATCCTCTCATTTAAGGTACTGAAATCTGTGAATTTATTCATCATTCAATTAATTGTTGCTCAAGTTGGTCTCAGCACTACATTATATCAGCATAGTACTTTTCATATGTCATCACACTTGACTTCCAGTGACAACAGTCAATACTGAAATGACAAGATGAACCTTTATTGATCCCCTTGGGGGATATTGGATATCCAAATCAATAGTTTGGGATGTGCGCTACCAACATATGTATCTGTTTCCACTGAAACCATGCCGACTGCAAATCAATCCCTGACCTACTGGCCTATCCAGTGCAGCAGAACGTATTGCCTGGACAGTTTTATTTCAAGTGCCAGCCACGTTTCAGGGTGACACGCTTGTTTACAATCATCTTTTATACAAGAACAGAAGCTGCAGCATTTCTCAGAACAGCCAAGTCTGACTGGCTAATTTAGGGCTGAGGGCACACACAGGACAAGCTCTCTGTCTGTGTCGGAGGAATTGGTTGTGGACTGGATTATAAACCATTGGCCTTGAGAATTACAGAGGATGTGCCTTGCATGAGGAGGTAAGCACTTCACCCCACCCCTTCTGCCCCACCCCATCCTCCAACCACAATATGACAACAAACCAATCACATGCTACATCATCTGCTTTCATCTGGAGTAAGAACTAGGTCGTTCCTGAGGAGAATCACCATACATCTGCAGGTTGAGCCACATGCATCGCATGAGCCAAGTGTATGAGAGATCATCACTGTCTTGATGCTGATGTAAAGAGGTTTATCTCTCCCTGGCAGCACAAAATGACTTATAACACTCTTTTACTTCTATATTTTCTGTATGGGACAATCAAAAAACAATAATGCGTGTATCTTCCTTTCCAAAAACTAATTCAATCACACTCAGTCATTAAGTAATCAGCAATAGTGCACTTCAAGACGCCATAACGCATACGACTGTGTCTGCAAATAACTATTATCTTTAATATCCTCTATTCTGCAGAATATCTTATGAATTAATCGATTACACATTTGGTTTATGAAACCCCAAATCATTTCGCTGAGCGGATAACGACATCTGTCAAAAGTCCAGGAAACACCAAAATATTCTCTTTACATTGATAAAAGACACACAAAACTCACAAAATCATCTATTGAGATAATTTTATACAATTTCAGCTTGATTATGATTATTTTTCAGTCCAAGAATTAATCATTTCACATCTATACAGGACTGATTAACATTCATATAAACCATATTAATCACAGTGTACCAAGTTATTCGCTGCTCTGACCTGTTGACTGACATCAATTCAACAGAAGCCTTCTACCATCCATAAAGCATATGACTATGTCTGCAACTCACAATTATCTTCATCATCCTCTTTTCTGCTGAATATCTTTTGAATTAATCACTATTATGTTTGGTTTAAGAAACATCATAACACTACTCTGAGTTTATGATTACATCCATCAAATGTCCAGGAAAAACACAACACCAAATACTTAATTTACTTTGATAAATGACACAGAAAACTCACAAAATCATCTTTTGAGGTAATCTTTTACAATTTCTGCTTGATTCCGATTATTTTTCAGTCGAAGAATTAATAATTTCACATCTGCAAAGGACTGATTAATCACCCAATCAACCATTTTAATCACATTGTAGCAAATTATTCGCTGATCTGACCTCATGACTATGTCTGCAACTAACAATAATCTTCATTATCCTCTATTCTGCTGAATATTTGTGTAATTAATCGATTAAACGTTTGGTTTATGAAACATCAGAACATTTCGCTGGGCTTATGGTAACGTTCATCGAAAGTTCAGGAAATACAAAACCCAAAGCCAGTTTGCAAACACACATTTAGATTAGTTTTTAATAGTTTTCAGTTCTACACATATATGACTGATTGACCTCCTACACAGAATACATCACATTGTTATCCTCTGATCTGACCTGTTGTCTCACATCCCAACAGTAGCCTCCTTCATTACAGTGTGATCTCTGGGCTCCTGTCACCTACATGTCACTGTATGGAGGCAGTAAGTGGGTATAATGGACTCTAGTGTTGTACATGTTGCACACTTTGCCATTCTTCTGATTGTTATTTCCCATGTGCTGCTAAGTTCCCAGCGGTGACAGGAGTAGTTCACAGTTAGCATGAGGTGGCTAACCGTGCAGCTCATCTCTACAGTCACACCCTGACACGTTGAGAGCAGAACAACAAGCTACCTACCCCATGTTTGCTGGATCTGGTGGCTGGAGCTGGTGCAAACTGCTGCTCTCCGTGGTCTCTGGAGGGCGATGAGAACGGGTTAGCTTCCTGATCTCCCCCCCTCTCCCCGCCTGGTAATGAGCCGCTGTGGTCGCTGCGGTGACTTCACGGCCGGTGGAGCCACGGTGCTGCTGTCAGTCCGACATGACTTGTTGTTGTTGTTGTTGTTGTTGTTGTTGTTGTTGTTGTTATGCCCTTGGGTACATTTTGGTGGTGGTGGTTTCACCCGAGCTTGCGTGCTTGCATGGTGCCCGTGAACGCACCGCAGCCCTGGCAGTAGTTGATGCTATAGCTAGCTAAAGACAACTCCTCCGCTGAGTCCAGGCGAGGATTAACGACCCCGGCTCCCACCGACAGGACTGGGATTTACAGCCCAATTCAACCCGGAGTGCTGGAGCTGCCTTTAAACAAATAAAACTAAGTTAAAATGTCGGGGGAAACAACAGCTTCGGCGTTATCCATCCGTCGCTAGCCCGCTGCGAGTGAGTGCTGCTGATGTGAAATCTGAGGGCGAATGTATGGAGACTTATCCCGAACCGAAGAAAGCAACATCCATTCCTCAATCCCAACAAACCCGCTGTTCACAAACCCCTGGTGTCAGCTGCTGGTTCTGTCTTTCCTTCTCCGCTGTGCCATCAATCCTCCTCCTTCTCCTCCCCCCCACCCCCTTCTCCAGCACCCGCGACCCACACCGTCCGAGATTAGCGGGTTTCACAGCCGCCGAACAAGTCCTTCAAAGCGGACATCTTCTTTCCTGGCGGGGCTTCACCTCCCCTGCTTCTTCTGGAGAAAACGCAGACGAGAGCGGTCGGTGCATGATCCGGGCTCCGGCGTCACATCCTCAAAGACCGGGGGGGTTTAAAGGTGAAACTAACGCCGGTTGCTCGTTGTATTTCTCACTCGCAACGGAGCTTCGAGTCGGATCCAGCAGATGTGGTCGGAGGCCGGTGCGGGTGCTGCTGCTCCGTCGGCCGGCTCATCCTCTCGTCTTGCCCCGGCCCCTCTGCTCTCTGTCAGCCCCTCTCGGCTCACTCATCGTCCTCCGTCCTCCCTCAGGGATCGTTACCATAACGACGTCATCACGTTGCCCACTGAAGTTTTGATGTCACTGGCAAAACTGTGTTATCACATCCGGTGTGTGGCCATGGTAAAGATGTGTGTTTTGCCATATAGGACAAAGATAAAATAAAAAATGTCATTACACTGCACTACACCAGAACCATGGACGGATTCAACTTCTCGGGGGTCCCTGGGGTAAAAATGCCTTGTTGGGCCCCCTGACAGAGCATTCTCATTAGGGGTGCTCCCATAGTGATGAACCGTTTTAAAGAGGTTGTGGCCCTGGCAAGTGACAAGACATCTGATGCTTCAGTTCGGTACACATGTTAAACAAAGATAAAGGCAGGATAAGCTGGTGATGCTGATCATGGAATCCGAAGCATGAGGGCCCCCTTTTCATTTAGTTGAGATTTTTGAAAAGACTTGGGATCGGTCAGTGTTGGCGGCTCACTGATGCTACAGGAAGCAGAAAGTGTCCAATTTGATGGCTGCCTTTTTTTTTTTACTCCTGCCTGCAGCCACCGCCAGATCAAGTCAACCAGAGTCACAGCAAGTCCACTTCTTATTTCCCCATTCACATCAAGAACCCAATCATTACTCTGTAAACGGGAGCGTCCGTTTAGAGCTGGGGATAGCAGTGGGGTAGAATGTCACTACAGTGTTTGACCTCAAATATACTTGCATTCACTTGCAAACTTATGTGGATAACCATAATGCCCGTAGACTGTATATATGGACGACACATCTCCACATCCTCCCACTATCCAAATACGAAGACTAGTAATTCTGCCATCTTGTGCACAGGTTATGATTAGGTAAGTGAAACTGGTTTGCACATGAGGACAACTTTTGCCCAGATACAACCTGTTGACCGAACCCTCCCCAGCTCCTCTCTTTCATTTGCCTTGTGGTCTCACTGTCACACTGCAGGACAGACATAAACAAACTTCACTTTTTCATTCACGCGTCTGTCAGGCATCCAGAAAGGCTGATTCTTTACAAAGAGCAGGAAGACATGTTTAATTGAGAGTTGCATCTCAACCCATGTGTATTTGTTATGAGGGAGAAAGGGGATTAAAGTAAAGGTGGTGCTCAAGCTTCCTATTTATGCATTTGAATTTCCTAACTGTCAACTGTTAAAGCTTATATTGAATTTATGTGATGTCTTATCAGTTGCTATGCACAATGTAAGACCAGAGTGTCCCCACTCCTGACCTGCAGGCTTGCAGACTCTTGACACTGGATACAGGCTGGCAGCAAAAACTTATATTTAGACCGAGACATTTACTTCATGCTGCTGCATTTTTTCTCTACAGTTGTGATTAGTCACTGACTGCAACTTATTAACCCAGATCAACCAACTTTATAGTGCATTCCAAAAACAAGGATTCAGAGGGTGTGAACAGATGACAAATTAACCTCCCTACATGTTGCAAATACTTGAGATGAAACACTGGAAGACTCGTTTTCTATTTCAAGATTAGGCTGAGCATGAAGACCAGACTCAGACACACTCGCTTAGAATGGGATCGACCGGGCAGCGCTGAGTTGTGGTGAGAGGCCGGAGAGAATTCATCAAGATATTACAATAATGGATAGTGTGACAGAGGATTTAGCACGGTCAGACGTTGACGCTGAGATGATGGTGTTGACGCCTGAAGATATTACTGAGGAAAACCTCGACGCCTGCGATGATGTGGAGAACCTTCGAAACAGGTGCAGATCAGGAGCTGTGATTCAGTTCTGTGGTTTTACTTAATTGTTTTTTCATCTGGTTGTTAACTTTAATCATTTTTTTTCATTTGCAACAAATCCCAAGGAGCTCAGAAGACACGGTTTATTTCACAGTAATAACTTGAATGCATTCCCATATGAAATGGGCAATTAATGAAGGAAATTGCATCAGTGTGACTGACCTGTGTGTGTGTGTGTGTGTGTGTGTGTTTGGGTGAATGTTTTTACATTCAGCTGCAGATTATTAGTAACACCTACAGTAAAATACAATCCAACACAACATTTGATCATTTTGGAAAATACATTTTGTAATACTGAAAGATTT